AAACAACCCAAAGTCCCGACCAAAGTATGGACGGGTAGCTTACATACATAATATACTTTACCTAGAAAGAAGAGAGCTTTTTTTGCCTATCAATCAATATACAAGGTAAATTATGTAAATGCTTACCGACTAGTAAGTTTTTACATTAAACCTTATTTGTGAGAGACTGATACGTAAACATAAAAATGTAGTGCATATGGCATGGGCATTCCGTGTATATTCGCTCTTACTGCATCGACATACAGTATTTTCAAATGAAGCGTTTCCGTGTCGTTAAGCGTGTTAACTCCCTTACGAGAACAAAAGACAACAATAATTAAATGCCTGCAATGTAAAATTATGACCTTGTTAAAATGTCTTGAGCCAATCACTTATCTCTGACAATCTCCAAGTGCCAACAACCTGATTCTTTACTTTCGTAGCTGGAAATTAATTTCACTGATCAATATCAATTGTTCATACATACATACATACTTAATACATAATTGTTCATACATACTTCATCGCCCTTATTATCGTCAAAATATAGGAAGAGATTTTATATTTTTTCTGGTAAAATCGCACCCAAATTATAGAATTTGAATTTTACCGATCTCTATTATCGGCTTCTCAATTATAAATACATTTACTACAATGTCATCACACAGGAATTCAGAATAAGGCAATATGAAAAAGACGGAAAAATTGAATAAGAAACAAATAAATATAAGAAACAATAATGAAACAGTATAATTGAATTGAATATTTGCATTTTGATGGTAGCCTACTGCCTGTCAAACACAGGCCGTGGGTTCGAATCTCATCTGGCACATCTGAAATTGTATGTGAAATTTACATTGAACTGTTCTGTAAAGGAAACATCGTGATCCCTGCACGTCAAAGACGGTTCACAAACCTCTGAAAACGTGTTATCGTCATAATACACAAAAAAAAAAGATATTTCTTCTGTTAAAATGGAAATTGCATAATTCGTGTATGATGTTACCGATCTCTATTATTGCCTTCTTAATTGTAAATACAATTATTACAATGTCATCATTTAAGAATTCAGAATAAGACAAGTGAACAACACAAAGAAAATAAATAAAAACACATAAAAAAATATAAGTAACAATAATCAAATTGAATATATCTGTTTTGATATAATCGTATTGTCGTATGCAATAATAATAACTATACGAAGTCGAAAATATACCAAAAGCCTAATGTACTCTTCATTGTGCCAATGTATCTTGGCACTTAAAGGAACAGTCCTTGGTGTTCATTGCGTTTGGAGAACTATGATATACCGGACGCTTTTAAAAATCTTAATTATTGGTACGTTGGTGCTTTTTATACCAACGAAATCACGTATGAAGAATACTTATAACTAAAGGACGTGTACATCATATCTGTAACTATAGACCACATTATAGCAATTTATTCTTCTAATTCTTTAGTCATTGGTTTTCATTCAACTAATTACGATATTGATATTATTAAAACATGAATATGTGTTAAAATAAATGTGTTTTTTTTAAATGGGAAAGTACAGGGAAATTCGAAACCATACAGAAAACTTGTCAGGATTATTAAGCTTTTTTTTTGAGAAACTATTTTGGCATTGTAATTTTTTTGGTCTAGTGAGTGAACGTGAGTTGTCCATAAAAATGAATATAATTGATTTTTTTTAGTGTTGATCGACTCAGTTTCACGTAAGGCTCATTTCGTTGTAATGCAAGACAAATTCGGGGCAGCAGAAGTTGGTCAAAATTGACTATGCCAAAATTGTTTTCACAAACAAAGACAATGTTTCCTAAGACACTCAAAATTCAAAGGGAAAACACACTGTATATATTTTAGATAAATCACACCCTCAACAATAAAATGACGAAACTGAAAGAATAGATTTAAAAACAATACGTACGAGATAAAACTAATATCCCATTTTTGCGTATCAAATAGAATTTAGCCGTATTTGGCATTAAACACATGGCACATTTACCAAATGTCACATACTTTATTTATTCGTAATCTCTTACATGAATTGCTCAAAAATGTCTGTATTTAAAATTTTATTAAAAAATACAAGAAAATTGTAAGCAAGCAGTGAGAAGGAAAAAATATAGTACATATTTATACGATCGCTTATAAAAGTAAATTGTTATTTTATATAAAATAAGTAAGTAATACATTCTACATAGTGCAAAATTACTTCTACAGTGGTGATTATTTGTGCAAGCATGCATATATTTTGTGCCTTAAACTACTAAAGGGTTATAAATAAAACATTTATACAAAGTATCACAATTTATTGTTTTATAAGTATCACACAGGGCTATTTACAGCTTTATTTATAAAAACTTAAAGTACAATCTCCGTTTTATGTACAGAAATCCATATAATTAGTTTTGGAAACCACTATACAATTGCCTTTATTATTACAATCTCAATTAATTTTTCGAACTACAAAAAGCCAAACCGTTTCCGGGGAAAATTAACATATATTCAGGAGACACATGCAAAAACTACCCATGCATTTGATTTACAATAATTTACTATTACTACTGTCGTACTATGCTATTTTTAGACCCGTTAATTTAACTAACTGATATACCGAACCCTCAACAAAATGCAAAGTGTAACATTTATGGGAAACCGATAAAACAATTAAAAAGAACTTACGAAATGAAACTTTATCATGGTTGGTACAACGCAAGTTCTTTTAAATTTATTTTGCATTTTTTTTATTTCCCCAATAATTGCTTTTCAATTTATGTAACTTTATTATTGAAAGTGCAGTACATTATATTTATAGTAAGTATTTATATAGGTACTAATTAAATCTTGAATTTTATTCAAATTTAAAAACAGGAAGTTAAAGACTCAACATTTTGAATGATCCACTAAGTAATCTATCGGGACTTTACGAAAAATTTTTTACATATAAATAATTTATATTTAGAGAAAAAATTATAAGGTGGAAAATATTAAAATTAATATAGATAAGGAACATGCTGGCGTATACAAATTGATAAATATAAAAGAAAGATGGTAAGAGAAATAAAATAGAGTCAGAAGGACATAGAGGTATTTACTACGTATTTCTACAAAAACATGTTACTTTTTTGTATGCATATTAGTTAGTAAGAGATAACCAAATAGAGAAAAAAACAAGGGTTAACTGGTACAGAATGCCTTATAACTCAGGGATGGGAATAGGTAGAGTTTTTTACCTAAACTTCGAGGAACATAGACAGAAAATGGAGACTGCCTTACGACAATATTTTTTAGGTCCCAGTACCTTTTCTAAATTGGGGAAATCACTTAAGAACATTAAAAATTGACGTAATCGGGGACTGGCAGGTACACTATATTTATCTTTACGACGTACAGTGGGTCGGATCTGCGATACTGCGACATTGGATTTTTTTTCGCAATACCTCTCTAAAAAAAATGCTTATCGAGAGATCCTATTGTCCTAATCAAATATTGTTATATCACACTATGCCATTAATATAATAGTTTAGTAGGAAAAAAATAAAATGTGTAATTTTTGTATGGAACCATACCTTTAGTGCCCCATCGTTACAAAGTCATTAGTCGATCCTATTTTGGAATCACTACAAACGTATTATTAAACCTATCTTCCATAGATTTGCACACTAAACGCGTGTCCAAACCTTTTTTTGTGCCTTTGTAACAATGGGACTAAATTTGTGGTCCCATACAAAAAATACACATTTAATTTTTTTTTTCTACTATATTATTACATTTATGGCAAAATGTGACATGACAATATTCAATTAAGATAATAGGATTTCTCGATTTTCATTTTTTTAGAGAGGTATCGTGAAAAAAAATCCTATGTCCGCAATATTACATATCCGACCCACGACGTTTTATTGCTACACCAATTTTTCCGAACATTTAGATAAATTTTATCAAAAAACTTCCAACTTAATACATGTATTTAGAATTATTAAGATGTGTATTTCAAACGTACATACTGTTGATCTATGGACATTCCTTCGGGATCCTGAAGCTATAATAATTCTAATTACATGTATTAAGTTAGAATTTTTTGACAAAATTTTCCTAAATATTCGGAAAAAATGGTGTTGCAAATTAAGTGATTTCCCCAATCCTAAAAAGGTCCAGGGACCTAAAAAATATTGTCGTAAGGCAGTCCCCATTTTCTATCTATATTCTTCGAAGTTTAAGTAAAAAAACTCTACCTATTCCGATCCCTGCTTATGACATTACATCCACCATTTGTACTATGTTGTAATGTGCAAAAAAGTTTAAAAAAAATTGAAATACATTACATGTAATGGCACATTTCTCGCAAAGTTCATATCAATTCCAATCTTATTTAAGGCTCACTTGACCTAAATTCCTTCCACGAATAGAGTGGCATAATTAAATGATGCACACAAAAATGCTAAACATCAAAAATGTTAATTTTACTAAACTTTTGAGGGTCAAAAAACAGCATAATAAATTAACAAAATAAGTGCTACCATTTTAAAACCAAAGTGAAGTATATACTGTCAATAACATATTAGGTGTTTTAGAATTTAAAAAAAATACGTTCGGCGGGCGCCATATTGTTTTTTTGGTATAATATGTAAGTGCTACGACACCTGGGGATCAAGGTGAATCTGCAATACATCATATCCCAAAATCCAATAAGCCATTAAGGTTACTATATAGGTCAAACAAACATACACCCGAAAAGCATTACCCTCCTTCTAGGGCTGTCGGGTAAAAAGTAACCTTACCGATGTTTTGACAGCAAATATCAGTGAGCGTCATAATATGGTAGCGCTATTAAATTTGTAAAGTCAAGAGCACAAGAGCACATCAAACTTGACACTTCGGACTTTGCATCCTTCCGATAGCAAGCGACATAGAATTGAATTTAAATCGGAAGCGTCAAGCTCGAGATGCTCTTGAACTTGTACAAGTATTAGTACTAACTACAGTTGACTAGGTTATTCAACGTCTATTGGATTTACCTTGCGAGCCGGGTGGTACGAAACCGAATCCGGATGCGCCGACCACCACACCGCTGGTCTGGGACGGGTCGCCGGGGGGAGAGGGGGGAAATACCACGGGACCTGAAAATCAGGGTAATATGTATTTTTAGTCCAAATATATTATTAAATGTAATATTTATTTATTTATTTATAATATAATATATAATATTAAAGCGATATGAGTAATTTTATTATCGCAAAAAATTTTTTAAGATTGGAGAGTGATGAGCGACACGCCTGTTCATAACCGATGCAATGCCACTCCGAGCTTTAAATCCCAAAGACCTGAAGGGCACTGCTACTGGGACATAAGTTCTCAAGTCCCATAAGCCTGTAATTTCACCAGTACAATTACCCTTCAAAAGTAAAACGCAGTTCATATTAATACTTGGTGGCAGAAAAAGGTAAGGTGGCAGTACTTTCCTGGATAAACTCTTCACAAGAGCTGTACTGCTAAAAGCAGATATATAAAGATGCTAATGAAAATCCAAGTTTCTTCATACTCCATAGAAAGACGGGTACAGATATTTTATCTAAGAATTGCTATGTCATTCATTAAACACGTTTGCGTAGGCCTCAGGATAATAGGAGCGACGGAACCTAAAATAGAGAGTAACGAATCTTGTTACAGATACATTCTGTAGGTGAAAGGTAAAGGACCCTGAGTCCATATTTTGGCATTTAAAAGTTTTTATAAACATTGCTTTAGAATGCTAAAAATAAGGCTATGGTAAAACACATTAAGTCCTATCGTCGTTTGTTTTTTTTATTTAACATATTTTTTTACCTTAAGATACATTTTAAAATTACTATTTGGCTTAAGGATCTTTACCTCTCACCTACAGAATTTATTAACAATGTTGAATAATTAAAATATATTTTTGGTGTCAGCTAATAAAAGGGTAATTTTCAGGTTATTTTTGTCCAATTTCGGTGACAATTTCTAATATTATCATGAAGTTTTATTTAATATTCGAGTATAGTAAACTGAAATATTATTAAATATGTCACGATAATTTACTCGAATACTTGAATAATAAAAATTGCCACTGAAATTAGGTAGAGAAAACAAACCTGAAAAGTACGATAAATCACCCAGTTTATTGTATTTACATATAATACGGAGTACCTTAACGTGATCGATAGAGAGATCAATCAAGAAGTCAACAGATTTTGTCAACAACTTCATAACATATAAAAATATATTTTACACTTTATTTTGAGCAACAAGCCGAATCACTTTCTTATTATGCAAATTGGAAACTGAGCCGGATTTAAAGGGAATTATTAAAAAATGTAATAATAATATAAATAATCATAATCATCAAACTTATACAGGATATTTAGAAATTAATTTATTTAGTCTGGAAATTGTCGTGTAGTGCACTGGAGTGAATTCCGTTGTTTTGATACTCATAATAGATAATCCCTAGTTTGAGAACTCGTAATTGGTGTAGATGACGATCTCCTTGGTCGAGTGGGTGTCTGTGGTCCCGGGTTCGATCTTCGACCGGGTCAATAGAAAAGTAACTTTTCAATATTGTCTCGAGTCTGGGTGTTCGTGGTACCGTCGTTATTTCCGATATCCATAACACAAGTGTCTTAGTTATTTACATTTTGATCAGAAGATCTAAATATGGAATAATGTAATGTTGCCTAATATTTATGTATTTATTATTTAGTTGTCTGGCACATTATTATTATTTACTTTTTACAATTTTTTGGTCAAGCAGGAGTTGCGACGCTAAACTATTATCACTTTCCAGAGAAAAATAGAAAACCATTGGTAGACTTTTTTTGAGAAAATAAAAAGTAATCGTATAACTTTTTATATTTCTAATTACAATACCGTAGTCTGTATTTTTAGTGTTAAAAAAGGCATATCGTGGTAAGGAACCTGTAAGTATTTTTTATGACATCGAGTGATGGAAAGGACAAGTCATCCGCCTGGTGGTAAGCGACACACCTACATAACGGTAAAAGCTGCAGTGCCGCTCAGAAATTTAAATCGCAAAGATCTAAGGGGCAATGCCTCTGCACTCGTCACCCTGAGACATAAGTTGAAAATTCCCACATGCCTGTAATTTCCCCAGCACCCTTCTGCTTGGCAGCAGAAATAGGTAAGGTGGCAATACTTCCCTGGACGAACCCTTTCACAAGGAATAATAATAATAACGCACACACTCAACATAGCCCCGCACTAGGAAAGCCCTGTGTCGCAGGTGCCATGGAGACACACATAGACAACCACACATTACACCCAAACTCACGAGAGAAATAAATGTAGGTCATACAAATATTTCTCCCGGCCCGGGAATCGAACCTGGGACCTCTGCGTGGCAGTCCGGTATGGTAACCTTTCGGCCACAGAAGCAGTTAAGGAGCTCAACTGCTACAGCTATAAGTTATACTAATATATAACAATGATATATTAAGCCTCTATTAATATTAACAATCAAGCACACCATAATAGAACACGCTGTATGTACAAAACAACTGTTACTACCGCATTCACAGTTAATTAATCGCGTGGTATTTTCATTTAAACATAAATTCAGTTAAGATTGATAAAAACGTTATGTATTTTCTTTTTTTAACGTCATTTTTATATAAGACGATGGTAATTCAAAAAATGTTTACGAGTTTGAAAGCATATATTAAGATTATCGTTTCCTAAGTTTAAAACTTACATCAATTGAAAAATCATATTACATAACCTAACCTCCGGTTAAAAAAACCGACCTCAAAAATAATTCATCCCTAGTTTACCACCCTTAGACGTGGAATATTTTCTTCAAATTTAAATGGGACCACTTCTGAGGTACCCTCTTTCCAACAAAAAAATAATCATCAATATCGGTTCACAAATGGCGGAGTTATCGCGTAACATACATACAAAAAAAAACATACAGACGAATTGAGAACCTCCTCCGTTTTTTGAAGTCAGTTAAAAATTTAAGACTACGTCTTAGATAGAGGAGTATGGAGAGACGACATGAGTCTAGATGCCATCCAAATGCGTTTAATTTAATTTTATTAACCTAACCTAACCTAACCTAACCTTGGCCGAACGTTTACCATGCCAGCCATGACTGCGACGCAGAGGTCCCAGGTTCGATTCCCGGGTCAAGAGAAATATTTGTATGGCCTACATTTATTTCTCTCGTGAGTTTGGGTGTAATTTGTGGTTGTTTATATGCTTGTTCATGGCACCCGCGACACAGGGTTTATCCAGTGCGGGGCTATGTTGAATGTGTGCGTTATTATTATTATTGGGGCAGCGTGGCGAGAAGACTCATACCCAGCTGTGTGACGTAGCGCCCCTAAGGTCTTTGCGATTTAAAGCCCTGAATGGCTCTGCAACTGTTATGGATAGGCGTGTCGCTTAGCACTATGCACACGACTTCTTCCTCCCGCCACTTGGTATTATTAAAAAAAAACGCAAAATCCCAAATAAAATAGGACAGGGGCTGGAAGACATTATTTAAAGCAAAATTATGCCAAGTAAGATTACTCAATAAATGAATTAAAATTCCATAAACTTTCTTTCATTGGCCTTAACGAAGGACTTATTGGTAACCACTTAAACGAATACTTCACAAATTACTATGTATCGTAAGTAGGTCTTAGATAAATAAGATGTAGCAAATCTATATAATGATATGAATAACGTAGTCAAGTGGACAGCGATTATAGTGTATTACATCTCAAGGATTATTTAAAGTGCACCTTAATAAATATACGGTATAGTAGTAATTAGCGATTGAAATCTTTTTTTTTATAATACTAAGTAAATGGACGAACAAATCGTAATTTTCTACACAGATTAAGAGTTCTTAAAAGAAAAATCACTAACTTCAATAGTATAAAATCATTGACGTTTGTATAATTTATTTATTGAACATTGGCTATGGAACCATCACCTTAAAAAGATATAAACTTACTATGGATAGGCGTGACGCTTACCATAAGACCGACTACCGAATATCGTGCGACTTGTTCGTTCCGTCACTTAGTATTATAAAAAAAAGTAATGAAACTTAAAAAGGTAATGTACTACTAATAATGTCGGTACAAAGTACTAAAAAACCTCAAAAGTCAATCATCCCCTTCTTTGCTACGCTTAGAGGTGGAATATTTTCTTCAAATTTAAATGGGACCACTTTTTTGTTGCAAAGAGGGTGCTTAAAATTCGTGTAAAAAAAGAAACTATAAAAACCCGCCAATATTTTCGCTTCACATTTGTTTAATAGCACATATTTAGATTTTTTTTTTCTTTGAGGACAGTGATATTTGGACCACACAGACTAGTACGACGTAAATCAAATAATACATTAAATTTACATTTTTTTTTAATATTTCGAAGTCTAGATAAATTTTAGTATCATTATAATTAATATAGACCAAATCACTATTTCCGTTTCCATATTACCAATTAACTGTCATTAAAAAATACATTTATACCTAGTTTAGTCTTCTGATTATAACCTTCTAATTATACTTCTTAGTTCAAGCTAATAAATAGACAATATTCCTTCAATATGTTTGCACGATTAACATTTGACCAAGTACAGAAACTATACTTATTTAATTACTGTCAATTTCTAGACAACTTGTTTCCACAAATAAATTACTTATGAATTATGATTTCTGGTATACCTTGAAAACATAAGTAAAGCTTACTTCATACTTCACTGAGAGGTTCGGAAAACAAGTAATTTTCATCAGGCTCTCTTCTTTAACATTATACACTTCTGTCACAAATATAGGTAACCTATGTAAAAAAAGTAAATCGAAAATGTGTGCGAGCAACCTATATTTTTATCCACATATTTTCTCGCTTGTTATTTTTATCATGAGTGCCAAATACCTACCCGTAATCGGACGTTCTTTATAATATATGAAAATATGTAATGTATAAAATTAAGTTAAGGACGCACTATAATTAAAGTAGACCCAATAAACTGGTATGAAATACACAGTAATAACCTAACCAACCTGCATTAAAGATATTGTATGTAACATAAGGTGTGCATACAACAACCTAACAACCTGTATACACAACTACATTATATAGAGAA